TTACATTTCATTACATTTCATTACATTTCATTACATTTCATTACATTTCATTACATTTCATTACATTTCATTACATTTCATTACATTTCATTACATTTCATTACATTTCATTACATTTCATTACATTTCATTACATTTCATTACATTTCATTACATTTCATTACATTTCATTACATTTCATTACATTTCATTACATTTCATTACATCTTATAGTTTTTAATATATACAATACTAGAAGACGTAATGGCCATAGTATATCCCTCATCGAAACCACCTAACCAGTACAGCTAAGACCATGCAAAGGGTCTTGACAGAATACGGAATAAAACGGAGTGCATGCTACGAAAAGTCACGTCGTGAGAGACCGTGATTTCACAATCATCTGGAACTAGCAGCCCGAGTATTGTATACTTAAACACCCGAAATGATCCATTAGATCAACAGTCAAGTAAACTGTCGATAGCAAACCAACCATGTCCAATGCAAACAAAGTCTCCCAGCGAGAATCTTTGTGAGGCCGAGGAGCATCCACTTATCTCACAGTACAGCGAAACCGTACTCCAGGCGTTCTTGTTGGACTCGGACAAAGATTTGTAACTCACCAATTGCAAAAAGGGCCCAGCCGAAAACATCGTCGACGAAGCTGAGTTGTTGGCCGAGGTCATCATCGGGCCGACATCGGATGGACATCCAGCGTCAATCTTGGACTCCAACAGAACGATGTAAACATTCTTGCAACCGAACGAGGGCATGTGCAAATTATTCGTCGCTGCCACAAATGAAAATCCGCTCAAATCGTACTTTTCCAGGATAAAAGAATTCTTGCATCTGTTCAAAGGCGGGAGTCAGGAGATCGCTCAATCAATTTACAACGCCCACCCGGACTTGATCCCACACTACAACCGGGATCAGCCGCTTGTACTGGGACATTTAGTGCCCGTGACGAGTGAAATGGATGGACGTGGCGGTATTCTGATCCGAGCTGAGTCTGCAGAACAATATCAAGTGATCGATCTCTTGGTTCTTTTGTGGAAGGAACAAACAATTGGCTGATTGAACCTAATCAGTCGAGCGATTGAGGATTATATCACGCGGTACAAACGCTTCATGTCATTACACTTACCGGAGACACAGCTGGTAAACATCCTTTGCAAATACACTGGCGCAGGAACCCAACTCATTACTCAATGGTTCAAGACACACTACAGCGGTAAGCTGTTTGTGACATACAAATGGCCAAGAAATTCGGGACAGACATGATTCCATTCATAAGCTCGCTTCAACTTATCCGCCGCAACAGAAGCCCGCAAGTGACAAGAGGAAGACCTTATGCTTGAAATTATTGAAAGGCAAAGAATATGGGAGTGGGTTTTGGCCGATCAAATCGGAGGATGGAGCCACGGAGATAATTCAGCAACAAAACTGGGTTCCAGGTATCCTCCTTCACTCTATCAAGGAATGAATTGGGTACATATTTACGCCAAGGCAAATCCCGAGTTATTTCCAAACTATTTTCAACACCACAACTTGAGTGTATGCCCACAACTCCAGCCTGATGTACGCGACAACATCACAGCATACATATTCCCTGATTTTGCGGCACAAACGAAAACCGAACCAGCCAGAGCAGTTGGTCACCGCGAACACACTGGCAATCCGTCAACTCAGTCTCTACACCGGATTCATCTGAATTCTATTCACCTCAGAAGCGATAGGCAGGCGACACTCCTCACAGACGGACTTACAAATTATGTATGGTCAACAATGACAAACTATAAGAGATCATTATGGGAGGAAAACAAAGAACAAACTCACTCTGAATACCTCCCATCAAGTGATATTTATAACCAAGGACAATGGAACCGAATTACCATCAACAAAGCTAAAAGAAGAACTCAACGTGGTTGTAGAGGATATACCAGCACACACTTCTCATTTAAGCGAGCGAGCCGAACGAATGAATGGAGTAATCACACAGATAGTATTATCTATGTTGGTTAGTGCTGCAAAGAAAGACGTCATCCGTGAGCTATTGCAATTACTAGCGATCAAACATGCAGTGTTGATGCACAATACCACCCCAGACGCACAAGGGTTATACCCCTAAACAATTGATCCAAGGACGCCAACCTGGTTTCTCCGTAAACACACTAATCTCTGGATGCGACGTGCTCATTAAATTGCCAAATGAGAAGGAAGTCAAGGAACGTAAGCTCCAGGATCAAAGAATTAAGGGCACTTATGTCGGGTCACATATCCCCAACAGCAAGGTGCATAGTATATGGGTTAATTACAAAACACCGGCTAAAAAGATGAAGGTTCATCATCGACAACGTGTTCTTTACGAAAACGTTCTCACATATGCGAGATGCAGAGGAAGCCATGATTGACATCGCTAAGAAAGTGAATGCACCGGAGCCCCCAACGCACTTGTCCCAACAGAATATGACAATGTGACGTTGAGCGTGCCACGGGAGAATGCCACCAAAGAGAGAAAAGAGACCAGAGTGATGAGACCTATCAAGGGGATACCAGACCGGACAGGATACATCATCTCGCACATCCTCAGGAAAATTTCTAGAGGAACTCAATGCGATTGAGCAACTCGAAAAAACAAATAAAACGAAAGATCAGTAGACATCAACAGGAGACTTGAAACGATTTGAAAACATACAACAGCGCATAAAGGCTTAATAAGAAACTCAAACGATACAGGAGATATATAAGTATGCAGTTGCACAATTACAGGATAAGGACGTATCCTGTAAAGAGGTTTCTAGGAGAATTGATTGAATTTCATATGCTTCTCTCCACTCAAGCTGTGTTTTACCTATAGTCTCATTTCTCATGATACACTCCAACAAATACATTAAATACGTGAGATGAAAAGTAATCAATATACATACATATATCATATATAATGAAGGGCTCGTGAACCGAGCTGTGAACACACTCCAATAATTTGATGAGACACGTGAGCAAATAGTAAATAATTAATCCAGATGTTAATACATATACAACCACTTATATTATATATTCTCTGTATATCCATATTTATATATATATATATATAATGAAGGACTTGTGAAACGAGTTGTGGCTTATCTATGATTTGATTTCTCGAACGCCATTCTTGTTTGGCCTTGTTTTCAGAACCATGTCTGCCGTCGTCCGACAAAAACGCCATGCTACACTGTATGGTCCATGTCTCCTTTATATTGAAACAACTCAACTCATGTTAAATCCGTTCACAATTCCTCATTTGACCGATCATGCGCTGCTTTTAGAAACTTGGTCTCTAAACAGCCTTGGAACGTTCAAAAGCTCTTCACTAAAAATAAATTTGCTTCAGGTGGTCTACGTTTCTGCAAGAGAGGCTTTAAGATTTGGCTCCCCCCTCATTACTATATACGTTTGCTAAAAAAATCTATGAACGATCTGCAATTATTCATGTATGCTGCGCCGACTCTCGCTAGGACATAAAATATAGTACATCGTGCATTATCATCGAATACCCATGAGCCTTAGGGCTCTGGTAATCAAGACGCGTGTAGAAGCTCTCAGTGCCAGCAAATAGTAAAGACGATCTCAAAAGTAAGCAAGGGTAGCTTCAGAGGCCCTTTTGATCATTGTCTCTTATCCTCACAAAATCTCACGTGTCACCGCTGGTGTTGGGCTACTTCCAAGACTATTACCTTAACTCAGAAAGTACATTCAAGGCAGCACAAATGATGGTCGTATTGAAACAATTCTCGAGAGCCGCCCATCGACGAAATCACCGGTGATTTATTGGAGAATTGAAAAGAAACTACATGTGAACCATTACAGCAATGTTACTGTAGAACGTGATTTCATAATACTCGTCAACGTCAATAGGACAACAAAAGGCTCTGCTCCATACTTCGGCATTTCATAAGACCATCTTTGTCACTCGTGCTCGCCCGTTAGAACACTTCACGATCAGAGCTCGTTGTCCAGCAGGGGCCTGGAAAAAAGCACTTCTCGTCCACAATCAACAAGGAATTCCAAATTGGCTGATGGCTACGATAAGAATAAGATGCGCAGTGCTGACGTGAAACGATTGAGCCACAAATGTTGACACTGGAGTCATTTTCTGGAAAGATTGGAAGATCGACTCGACCCCAAAGTCGCCGCTCGAACGAAATGCACAAAGTCGCAGGGGCTCTAGGACATAGTTAGCAGTGGCCCATCACCTTCAAGCGCCGTGTTTTCTCACTTAACAAATACCAGGCGGCAAAATAGCCACGCGGCAAGCTAATTATATTGGGGCATATCTTTGTGTGCTAATATGGCCTTGGAGGTAGGTATATGATTCGAAAGGCGCACTCAAACCCCTGGTGTGAGAAGGTTACAATGCGACCCATGTGAGCAGCTTTTACCGGTTGAACCGAGCGTTGGTTTTACGTAACAGATCACCATCCATGATGTATGTGAACTTCTCCAGTAACATGTTTCTGCACACACTTCGTCCGTCGTGATCACTCGCATGACGCCAGGAGAAAAGTCAGTCACCATATGTACATTTCACCAATTCTCGTGTTTCTTTTTGCACAACTTGTCTCTGCGTAGAATGACGCAGTCCAGTAAAATCTCATCTCTAGAGACCGACAAAAGACAAGTCATGCTCATGCTCGAGCCCGCAAATCTCAAGCCACGTCTTGAATCAGACAGTAGCCCTGGTGTTTCCATATCATTCTACAAAGATGATAGCTTCTTGGAAAGCCAGAGAAGACCCAGGAAACGTGTTGGCAATGCCGCTACAGAGGATCCGAAGGAGACACTGTTTGCATTTCTTTGGCAGGAACGACATGCCGAATTTGCACCCAACCCGCACTAGGTGAGCACAGGCCACTTGGGTCCCCATTTTAGCCAGCCATGCAATATGAATGCATACGGCAGCATTTATTGGCCGCCTTATTCATCATCTGACTCGTCGGTCAACACATACTCGCCGAGAATCTCCTCCTTGGTGGCACGCACAGGCCAAATGAACCCATCACCAGCACCTGCCATGGTCACGGTGCACCCATAGCAAACTAGCAAGTCTTTTCCGGTGGCATTCTCTGGGGAGTGCGCCCGGTATTCCCGCGCGTATTCCCGCTCCTCGTCTGTGTTCAACGGCGCAGCAGAGTTGACGGTGATGTTTTGGAGCCACGCCCTAGGATTATGGTGGATGGCCGCACCACATACCTGGCACAGGTCTGGGGCCTCGCTTCTCGGCCCGCCTAGTTTCTCTGCGGTTTTCACCACGGTCGAGGCAGTGGAAGCGTACCCGGTGGCATCCAAGCCATCAAAGTACTGGGTGGTTAGGTCGTGCACTGTCATATTCTTGACTGGCCTTGGGCCCTGGGCCACGGGAAGAACCGCGTATTTCGAAAGCCCGTCGCTCAACTTTAAGACGGCCTTCACCTCGGCAAACAAAATGTCCCTGAGCGGGAAGATCACGTGGAGGTCTTTGCCCATGTACGATGAGGTGCGATCGGCCACGGCCTCGTGGATCCTCAGACCCCTGCCTTTCACCGTCAAAGCAATCACCTCGTTGGCCAACCGTGTCATGCTGTGTCCATAGAGAAGCGTCTCGCACTGCTCGCGGACAGCTATGTTGTTGAAAATCTCTTCGTAAATTAGGCCGCGCAAGTCTGCCTTCAGAGAGCGACTGGCGGACTTCTCCAAAAGCTGTGCTACTGACTCAGAGCGAGAAACATCCGCATCGGCCACCACGTCGAACTCGGGGCTTACGGCAAGCCTCACGCGGGTGTCTACGGGATACAGATCCAAATCCACTTCCACATACTGGATGCTTACTGGGGTGTAGTTGCCTGCGAGGGCCTGGAAAAGCTCCGACCTGGATTGCTGGTCCTCCTGCAAATGCACCACGACCAACTCGAAGCCCTGCTTGCCTTTGTGCATTAGGTTCTGTTCCTGGAGTAACGATGCTATCATGTCGAACAACACGAGGGAAGACACCCCAAAAGACAACGGAAGCAAGACCCGCTGCACGCCCAAACGCTCAGCTATGGCGCCGTATTTGACCTTGTACCGATCATCGAGCATTTGCTTTCTCTGCTTGCCCCTCATAAACCAGATGAAGCATTTTGCGCAGAACTTCTCTTTTCGAGAGACCAACACTGCAGGCAGATCTTTACATCTTTGGCATACATCAGAACTCAGCTCCGGTAGATATTGAACAGGTGTGGACGACATTATTCTGATGCTTGGCGGTGCAAATTCGTGTAGCCAGGCACTTTTCGAGAAAGCTGCGATGAGTTCCTGGGCCGCACTGCAGAGGTGGCGCCACGAGCACCTACGGTAAGACAAGGTCAGTTGAGCAGCAGCATTAATGTCTTGCCGAGGAAATCGATAACGCCGAATGGAGCCAATGATAATATGTCTACTTTTTTTGATTTAGTTTTCTTCGTTTTCCAGAAATTCATAGCACCATCTTTGCTGTTATAGAGGTACCGGTGCGAGCTGGTGCGTTGATCTATACCGCGTAATATTTTGCCCACGTCGTTTCAATATACATGGGAATCTGACTCGAACTGCACCAGGCCCCAACTTTCCGACAAAAGTCAGGGGCAACAAATGTTACAAGGACATTAAAATTTTTAATTCTTCATTGTTCGAACACAGGCCGTGATCAGCGGAGAAGATCATTCGTGGAGTCTTGAAAACTGTAGGTATATTGGACCTACTCTCAGTAACTTGCGCATGTATTATGGTGGAGCCATGCTTCACAGGTTTCGCAGAGCAATGTAGGAATTCCCTAAGAATTCCCCTCTCCTCGCATTGCTTAGGTGTCTTCGTCTTTGGCTGTGCGTTATTTACTCTGTGGCAGTATATTATGCTCGACCACTAATTTATGGGTTCACAGCCTCGGCAGGTACTCACGACTGCCTAATGAGACTTAAGTCGTGTCTCGGTGACACGAGGGCATATATTGACTGGCAGATCTGAGGAAAGCCGGCTTGTGCGTTTCTGGCTCCCCGCCTTTTCACATTTCCTCTCAAAGAAGCAAAGTCCAAAATTTCATGACCAAGCTCGAGTCCATTTCATGGTCGTTGAAGTTTATAGATCGTGCATCAAGCGGTACAGGATAATCCAGCAAAGGCCTTAAAATATCCCTCTTCTTTTGGGGCTGCATATGGCAGCCATCGGAAAGCACGAGTTCTCGTGTGTATACCAACCCATCTATGAGAATGCCTCACAAAAAAAGGCCGATGATGCCATTTCTGTTGTTTGGGTTTTAGAGATTTGTGTTCTTTAGCCATTCCCGAAATATACTCGTGAAGCGGAGGCGCTGAAAAACAGTCATAACCCGGATCGCGAATCAGGGGCTGATGTCAATTTTGCACTGAAACGTGATCCCGACACTGCATGATTCTGCACATAATGTCCGATTTGCCGCAGTTTCAAAGCCCGAGTGGTCCCTGGAGCTGCAAATGGAAATTTCCACCTATTGTATGACGTCCGCAGCTGTCTTGTATACCAGACATAAATGGGCCTTGTTTGTGTCTCGTCCTCACCTGCTGCAATATAAATGTACGACTGCCCGCTCGCTTGGAAGCTGGGACCCCTTTCATTCAATCCCCAGGTAAAGAACAAACAAAGTATTAAAAATGTCTGCAAACGAATTCTACTCCTCTGGCCAACAAGGCGAGAGAACTGGCAACTACCAACAAAACTACCAACAAACTACCCAATCTACTGGCGCCGAACAGCAACAAGGTGAGGCGGGTGAAAGAGGCCTTTTAACTGATCTTGCTGGTGGAGCTGCTGGCGCATACGGCGGTGGAAAGCTTGCTGGCAACCACTCAACTCTTGGTAAGATCGTGGGTGGCATTGCTGGTGCTGTTGCAGCCCACAAAATCTCGAATAAAATCGAAGAGAAACACCACCATGGTCAAAGCGTCTTTGGCGGCCATCACAATGGTGGCGGCTACGGATATGGTGGACCAGGCGGACCAGGTGGACCACGTGAAGGACCAGGTGGTCACCATGGCGGTCCCGGCGGTCATCATGGCGGTCCCGGCGGTCATCATGGCGGTCCCGGTGGTCATCATGGCGGTCCAGGAGGCCCAGGAGGTCCAGGAGGTCCAGGAGGTCCAGGGGGCAGATGGTAAAATTCCCTTGGTCAATTTCACAATTATACGTTCTTATATGCGGTGTATTATTATGTAGCGCGCAAAAACATTTAATATAACGAGCCTAGATTCAAAACCTCGCCACCAGGTCACGTGCAACGCTCGCCAACATGAATTTCGTACATAGTCTTTGATCCACCAGGTCACGCAATGTCCACCAAAAAGGATGAAACAGCATTGCCATCAGACAAAGTTGTAACCGACAAAGATCAGATTGACTTCACTAGCGGAGGACCCGAAGAGTTTAAGTTCTATCCGGATAATCCTAAAAACCATCGCCACAAGTATAGATGGGCAAGCAAAGACCCTTCAAAATATTATGACCCGTGTGAGGAGAGTCGCCAAGCTTCTATCAACTGTGTTCTAAGAAACCAAGAAGATAAGACTGTTTGCCAGGATTTTTTTGACGCATACAGGGAATGCACGAAGGATTTTTTCGCAAAGAAGAAACAAGACAGGCAGAACGGAAAAAAGGGATGGGGCATATGGTAAGTCATATATAACCCAGGAAATTGTCCTTTTCTTTCCAATTTGTAACATCGGCACTCCCCTGTTTTGGGACTCCAAACATAATATCTCTTTCACCGAAAGTCGGAGGATAGGGAAATGAGGTCCCCTCATGTGGAATGTTGCTATTGTTCAAGTTAGCCCATGGTGTGCCACCATAGGAGTCTGAAGGGTCATGTGCAACAGAATATCTTCGCGGCGCACCAGGGATTTTAAAATCAGCATCGGAATCAACTTTCAGCAATTCAAGCCGCCCCGTTTTTCTATCGAGTGAACAAATTAGAATCGTTCGGCTCTTCTCATTTGCTACTCTTTCTTTTTGATGAGTGGAAACAATCTCCGTTAGAAGTTCTCTGTCAACGCTAGGGGGCAAATCTCTTGAAATCGTATCAAGAATGGCGCTCACACTTTTGTGTATATCAATCTCCACCGTAAATAGGACGTAATTAAGCTGCAAGTTTAGCAAACAGGAGTCGGCGCAACCGGCAAAATCCCCAAGTTTGTTGCAAAGCTCGCTGTTCCACTTACGTATAAAGTTATTTTCCGTGGACCGAGAAAAATTTACTTGACGTGATTCTCCTGCAAAATTTCGTTCATAAGATTCGAAACTATTCTTTATTGCTCGGATTTGGGACAGACGAAGCAGGCTAAAGCTTTTCGTCAATAACCAACTCTCATCGATCAAATTTTTGCAGAATTCGAAAATAGCCTTTTGATGCTTTTTTGGTATTTCGGGTAGATTCTTTAAACAGTTAATTGAAAATTTGAGTCTGTTCAAGAAAAATGCCTCTGTGAGTTGTGTAAAGGGGTTGATCTTCAACCACTCGGCCATTTGTAGTCCTATGCGGGAATTGCTAGATCTTTGCGTCACGCTACCATCATCATTATCACCTTGTAAGAACCTCAAGTCTTGATCTTTGAAGTTTATCAAAGCACCGGTGAAAGGTATTCTGAAGTTGAAACGTTTTTTTTGTGAATCAGACAGCATTTTTGGAGATGCAATGGCGCAAAACAATACTTCCAAGAGGTCTCGAAGAAGTCTACCATCATTCATTCGGGTGTTGCCGATCAATATAGTCAAAAAAATCTTCAAATGAAATAGATTGCGGTTGTCGTTATCAGCTGCAGGTTGAAAGAAGCCATCCAACTGAGCGTCTCCGTGGCATACGTTTGTCATTGCCATTTCCAACACGTCATGGCCCGAAGGCAGTAAAGGATCGAAGCCAACAGAAAATTTCGACCCGCTTCGGAAGAGAGACGACAGTAGACCATTTAATATAAGAATTTTGTTAGCTCTTGACAATTCGCTCAAGAATATGGAATCACCATTTCTATGGTCGCGAAAGCTAGAGTACTTCTTGTTTTCCAGGCCAGCATTTGAACTAGACCTGGATTTCATCTTCTTCCTGGTGGAGCTGGTTTCAAGGGCGTATTTTCGTTTCATTCTCATATCGTGGAAAGCACCTTGTTCGGGGTCATCCACAACTATATTCTTTTGCCAGCGATTACGACTTTTCTGCCATAAAAGCACGTAGTTCATATCGTCTTCAATCGAATACGGGTCATTCTGTTGGCTGCGGTAGTGCGAAATAGGGAAAAGGCTGTTGTTCCAGATATGGTTGTCTGTGAACAATGGAGATGTCCCAAAAGCGGGATCATGTTCTTTGATAGACTGTAGAAATTTCTTCAACATCTTCTTAAGCGAGCTTGCCTTTTTGTTAAATGTAGCTGAAGGCAGAGACGTAGTCAACCGCCGGATGGCATTCTGACGTCGAAGGGGTACAGCCTCGGAAACCAGACCCGGGCCACCCGGCTGCATAGTGTTGTTATCATGATGCATGTCAATGAGAGTGTTTTCATTTCGAGTGTTTTGGCGGGCAGAGGATAAGAGAAGTCTGCGGGTAATGAATGGTAGCCTTGGCTGCACAGTAAAATCGGAGTTCCCTAAAGGCCTGTCTGTTACCTCTGGAAAACGGAAAGCATCACCTCTCAAGATCCCGGCAGCCGGAAAGCGTCGTCTGCCCATAAGTGACAAAAGTTCTCTCTCCTCTTCTATCAACTCACTGGGGATAGGAGAGTCATGGCTGTCAGACAGCCGATCTTCCTGGGCCGCAGCCAAAAAACTCGAAGATCTGGTCAAATTCATAGTTGGAAGCACTTCGTGGCGACGCCGAGATGCATCTAACTCAACCCTCTCATTAGTGTCTTGTTCCAAAGACAGATCATCGCTGGAACTCGAGCTTGAGTCCTCGGAATTGCTCTCTTGAGAAGACACAACTGGGTAACGAAGCATTCCCCCCACAGAGTCGAAATCCGAGGGAAAAGTGCCGGATAGTAAATTCATATCATCTACAATATCCAGTTCCCAAGAATGTGGTGCACGGAAATTGCGGGGCTGTTCCTGGTGTCGATGAAGGGCTGAAGATCTTCGACTGCTAGCCCAATCTGCAAATATTGGAAGGGGCATTTTCTTTTCTGGATTAGTCAGCGAAAAGAGGCTCCCAAAATTAGCGGGCACTGCGAAGAAGGGGGTATAAAAGAAGAAATAAGTTCTCTGCTTCGTGAGCAGATACTATTGGTCTGTTCGGGGCAAAGTGTTTCAACAATCCACACAAAATTATTGAGGAACGCGCTCAATTGCGGGGGAGCGGTAAACAGGGATTTAACAAAACACGATTGGCAAAGCGACTCCGAAGCAATAGCGGAGGGAAAATCAAAATGCACAAGCTCACCTAATCACTTGTGCCTGCTTCTCGAGACTTTTTTGTATGTTACAAGTGCGTGTTCTACTGGGCTGAATTCTCCCGATCAAATTAAGTAATATTAGTAGGCGCGCCTTTCTGCTTGCAATACGCTATTCCAGAGACACAAAAAACCTTATCATGAGTGTACACAGTTTTGATGCAGTTGATGAGTTCATGCCAATGCCCAGTATGTATCAAATTGGAACAATTCTGTTTTCTTCAGGCAGAACACTTCCGCCTCAGTTTTCATACAGGATGTGGGTAGTTATGTGTTCGAAAAGTGGCATATGATCTCCAGACATTCCAGATTGAGACCAGCAGGACATATCTTTACTCGTTTTCGCGCAAATGACCAGCGGCCAAGCAGATGAAGTAAGATTGTAACATTGGTTTGCGAATTGTCGATGCCAGTGCAGGGCCACAAACAAAGTCACAATATATGTAAGCCGTCTGTTTAGAACCATGAAGTTTATATATGTTCGTATCCATAATTTTTGTTGGTGTATTGAAGAATGTAGTCATCAGAGTATTGGATGTCACATCTCTGAGCACTGTGTTGGATATCTAGGATAGGACTTGAAACAATGTTTTTTTTTTGGCCTTCAGGAGCTCTACAATATCCAAAGATTGAACCCAGCTCACTGAACCTCTCCTAACTAGTCAAACTATACGGTCCCAATTTGTGACCTTTTTGACAAATGACCTGGAAACTGCCTTTCTGTTATTTCTATTCTTCCTGTTCTTCATATTAGGTGCACTATCTGTCGAAACTTTCGGAGTTGAAGCAACTACTGCACGAGAATTATCCTCAAAATTAAAGATTTAATATTCAATACGTAAACAGATGCGTGTTAAAAAGACACTCTGGGCCTTAATTAAGGAAGAGGGACGGCTCGTGTTTCGACACTAGGTACGTCACTGAGACATATTTGAAGAATTTATATAGTTTTATTCCTTTAATCAGATGTAACTCTGGCGATTTTTTTTTCTCACAGGTTGTTATTTTTCTGTTATCATCAAAATATGAGCAAGACTCACAACACTCGAATGTTTGGAGTTATGTGCAAGAAAAACATCTCATACACTTTCTTTGAAACCAGTAAATTGTGCCAGATATCATGAGGAATTGATCAAAAAAAAATCAAATGGTATGAGATGGTGTCGTCTGTAGCTTGAGTTTTGTCGAAACTTCGAACAAGGGGCTTTTATAATCGTTTTTCTTCACATGTATATGCAAGTAATTTATGCGTAGGACGCAAATTGTGGGACTCTAGATCCAGTACAAAATTCGAATATAAATATTAACTTCTTTCAGACCCAATCCCGCAGACATGGAAGCATAGATTGACCTGGAGACACATACCCACTGGTCATCCTTTGCATGTGAAAATATGAATAGGTATGAATCTAAATTTCGAGAAGAGTATGTCGTTCATATTCAATGATCATATTCAATGATCATATTCAATGATCATATTATATGATCAAAACACGTCAGCACATGACAATACTGCATGTTCATAATACATGGCCATACTAGTCTTTATCTCAGTTAAAGTTCATAGTTGTCTGCCTTTCTTTACACACGAATTTGGGACGGGAAGCGGTTCATTAATGGCTCTTTATATGAGAGTTGTAGTCACAATCTGAGTTAAACAAGCAGCCCTCTGTCGCTTACACTGTCATTTCTGAAACTCAGAATGATAAATTCAGTACCAAAAATTCATCAACAAAAGATATCTTGTAAATAGGCAAAATCATTATTAGACTTATACCCCATTGAACTTTTATTATTCTCAATTAAATCTTGTCAGACGTCCTGCCCGCTCCTTCAAAATACCGCTAAAATCAGGGATTTGCAAAATGAATACAAATCTCAACCAGAAACTTGTAGGATGGATGGTCGCTCAATTTCTTTGCTGCAAATTACTTCAGCAAGACTAAAACATTTGGTCTTGATAACGTGTTTGATGATATCTACGCAATCAGGAGTTATTTTTCCCCGCACAATACAAAAAGTGAGCTCGACAGAAAAAAGGGGCCCATTTTCAACAAAAATCATAGAGAGCTCATAATCAGACCCAAGTAAGCAAGTCCTGAATTAAACTGGGTTGCGCTGTTCTTTCTAGTGTGGCCCACCGAGCCTGAACTTCTATGCAGCGGCGACATCCCTGGCTATAGAGCTGCGCACTTCTTATTGTTAACCTCATGCAACAGCGTCTTCGTTACTAGAAATATTTAGACAAGACCGTAATTTCAGGGAAATGGCATGTGTCTTAAATAGTCTGACCCATGTTCGGTCAGTCTCAGCTCAACGTAATTTGTTTTGTTGTTTGATATTCTGTCCCTCCTCTGCCACCGGCGCGCTGGCTGTATTCGGAACTCTCGGTACCCAAAATGGACGTCACGTGGTGCCCCATCGCTCGATGGGCCTAGGCCCTTTGTGCCAGTTGCCAGCTGTGGCGCAGGCGAACAGGCTGGCTAAAAAGGCCGTATTTGGAGGATAGACGGAACTGAGGATTGATGCACGACACAAAATATTAGCTTTACCCAGAATTTTAGAGGCAATACGAAAGAATGGTAGTCTGCCATCTAAACTGGATTCTGCTGGTTAAACATACCAATCAATAGGGTATCCCATAGGTGCAACAGCACGGCTGTTGCGAAAACGGTTAGTTAAGCTCCAATATTAAATGGTTGTCTTTTTAATTACCATTTGAATACACACGTGTTTAGTTGATGAGACACTTTGATACTCTTAAACTTCTATCTTGAAGTGAATGCCTCAGCTCATAGAAATCTAGAGTCGACCGCCGCACCCTCAAACCCAAGACTATCGAAGTCCATGCAAGAGGTTGGAGGTATTAGGCCAAATGGAAAGATTCAGAGTGCCCAGCTACATGTAATCCGTAATATGAGAAAGGCACCAGGCATTGCTGTACCAAAAATGTACATCTACGCAACAGGTGGCCAATTTCCAGATGGAGTGCGGCATGTGCAGGTCACGGCTTACGCTTTTCAGTATCGAAATTTGTTTTCTTTTTTCGATCGTACCCTTCTTTGAACCCCAAAGCTTCTCATCGAAACCGGCAATACTTGGACGATCGAATCTGAATAATTTAACTGTTCTGAATATAAGGTTTCTTGTGCCGTGTATCCCTTGACAGATTCTGCCATATTATCGAAGCACGTACCCACTCGTTGTCATTTTCGAGTCAAACTTATAGACTGGGCACTATCACAACTGACATCTATACGACAAAAAGCTGAAATATTGGGGCATCACGCAATTCACAACTCGAATATTATTACAACAACCTGACTGTATACCTAACTTCTAAATTGTGTATCTCCGGGATATTCGCTTAAGACCCCCCTCCTTCTAAGCAGAGTTTACCAAAGACATGGACCAGCCACAGGAATCCATCTACGTCTGTATCAAACAGTTCAAAGCACGTTTGGGCGATGAGTTGTCACTTCGTGTGGGCGACAGAATTGAGATTTTAGCTGACGACTCGGAATATAACGATGGCTGGTATATGGGCCGCAACGCCGAATCCAAAGCCGTCGGTCTTTTCCCCAAGTCTTTCACAAAGGCCGAAGTCCCCCTCGATCCAAGCCAACCATCCCTTTTACGATCTCGTTCTCGCCGTGTGCTTACTGGAAGCAGTGCCGCGTCAGCATATAGTGCTTCAAAAGTGCCCTCTGTGCCTGCTCCTACTGAGCCTCCAAATGATAAACAAGATACAATCAGTGAATTGGACAAGGCTCTACAAGAACTCCTGACATCCTCGCTAGACCCACTTCTGTACCACAAAAAGGGCTCGCCTGTGTCTCATGTACGCACCGCAAGCAATCTGTCCATGACGCAAGACCTTAACCCTCTCAAGGTGAGCAGCTGGACGCCAAAGCAAGTATCTTCCTACTTTGCCATTGTGCTTGGCTTTGATATGAGTATAGCTGGAAAGTTTGCGCGCCATAAGATCACAGGGCAGATTCTCTTGCAGCTTGACTTGGCGCACTTGAAAGAGTTGGAAATCATTTCTTTTGGTACTCGTTTCGACATATTCAAAGAGATTGAAAAATTGAAGGAGATCTCATCGCGAGTAAACTCCCTGTCCCATAAACTCGCTTCCGGAGAGCTTCAAGAGTCTCATGTGTCCACGCGTCATATTGATGAGTCTGATGATCCTAAACTCACCGAAAAATCAATTGAGGGCAAAAGAATCCCAAAAACTGATCTGAAAGCTAATAAACGATACTCCACGCAATTGCTCCCCTCTGTTGACTTCGGAACCCCATCGCTTTACATCACCAGCGGCTCCGCCATAGACAAGCTATCAAGTGGTCTGGATAGTGCCGTCAAATCTCATCAACGCACTAGATCCCATTCTTTGGATAACCTTACATTTGATGAAGTCCTTCATAGTCCAAACACCACAACATTTTTGACCCCAAGAAAAGCGCCCAGACCTCCTTCTCAAAGCCCAATGGACTCTAGCTTTAAATTTGGGGGATCACCAACGCTACCACATCACAGTAGGACTATGAGTCCACGACCTCCCTCAGTGAGAGAGAAAACTAGCTCTCTTGGGCTTCTGCGTCCGGCTTCATCTATATATGACATTCCTGTGAGTGGTCACCACAGGAAAACTTCATCCGGTTTAGGAGCTCACAAAAGAGCCTCCTCGGTCTTTCTGTTTCTATCGAATAACATGGATGCGCCTGTTATTGATTCAGAAAAGTTTCAAAACCAAAAGCGTGCTTCCAAGTTTTTTCAAGATGGAGATTTAACGATTATCGGGGACGAACTAGATATTGAAGATGGCAGTATATCGCCGAAGAAAACAAAAGCAGGGCCTGTTGATGACCTAATACACTTGAAACCTGAGAATCCCCAGAGCAAATTGAAGAGCTTACGTTCTGTATCGACTCAAAATTTTAGGAACTTGACTGTACTGAAAAAACTGAAAACCTCAGCTTTCACCGAAGGAATACGAGAAATTAGCCCTGATGAAGCAATAAAATCTGCTAATTTTAGCGGGTGGATGGCAAAGAAATCTAGAAGCTCGTTAGGTTGGAGATCACGATATTTCACCCTTCATGGTACAAGATTATCATACTATACTTCATTGCGTGACCGGAAAGAGAAAGGCTTGATTGATATCACGGCACACAAGGTCCTACCAATTAGTACCGAGGGTGAGAGCACAAATCCAAATGACAAATATATTGCTCTCTACGCTTCGCTGACTGGATTTGGAAGGTACTGTTTCAAGCTTGTTCCTCCAGCTCCTGGGTTCAAAAAAGGGTTGACCTTCACCCAGCCAAAAACACACTATTTTGCCGTTGAGACACAGGATGAAATGCGGGGATGGTTGAAAGCCTTGATGACAGCTACTATTGATATTGATGACTCCGTTCCGGTTGTAAGTAGTTGCAACACACCCACAGTCACATTAGCTAAGGCTCAAGAATTGTTGACCAGAGCTCGTGAAGAGACCAAACTCATGGATGAAGAGCTAAGAGCAGGTGCGTTTGAGAGATTGAATGAAACAGGTGCTGATACCACGCCCTCTTTCTCACAAAACGACAGTGTATCGTCAGGAGAGCCTTCTCCCGTGATCGGTTCAATGGATGAAACTACGTTATCATCTAGCACCACAGCGATGGCCTCCAAACAAAAGCAACCCAAATTGACTCTAGATACGCAAGTGAAAAATACTCGCGCGCCTTCGACTCCTCAACCTTCTGTTGGTTCGGGTGGGTTTGCCTCTCCCTATCTTTTGGCATCCGGTATGTTGTCTCCGAAGCCAAACGAATCCAGTCCCAAATTTCAAAGAGCCTCCTCGGGTACAAGCACCCCGCAAGCATCTGTGACTGAACGAAGTATCTCTTATGGAAGTACGGAGGGCCTTGGAACCCCTAGGGGCTCTGCTGGAGGAGCTCGTGCAAAAGATGTAGAGTCAATTACAACTGCCGGATCGTCATTGTCAAAGACCATGGAAGAAAAGAAAAAAACCGCCAGCGATAAATTTGTGGCATACTCTAGCGATGGTTCGTTTCCTATAAAGTCTAAAAAGAAATGAACTCAATGTTGTATAGTTTATCTCACAACTTGTGCTCAAATGTTAACGAGGGTATGGGATCTGTGTGGCTGCGAAGATACAACTGATTTGCAGGTTAAATCTTATTTCACTGCAAGAGTTGATTACTAATTTGGTATGCCCATAATAAACAAATTTCATTTCACGTGTATTTTCTTTTCCGCAATCCAAATTGTCAGACAACAGTAGATATTGTTTGTTGTACACTTTCTTACAACAGATCGCGAGATCAAAATTCTGGTGCGCATCAACATTCACAGACGTTCACATCAACAACAGAATATTGCAGCCTGCTAGAATCAAACGACCGTTAGTTTCCTCAACAATCAACAACACTTTTCTGTGCTATCCCAAACTCCCACCTGGGGATCGGTGCATTGCTAAGACATCATAATTTGAACCTCTTGGTTCGGGGTCCAGTTGCCCAAATTTCACGGTCTTCCATTTACTCATATTCTCACAAACCAAACGAGTATTCGTCTCGCTAATTATCATGGACACTGACCCGTCATACATTGTGCAGCATCTTCGATCCATTGTGATCCACTCCCTTGATAGCTTCAATTTGAAAAATGCAGAGTTTGCTGCAGAACGGCTTGTGGCTATTGCCCCAGATGACCCAAATTCTATATACTTGTACGCTCTCACACTCTATCGTCAAGGAAAATACAAGACTGCTTTCAATAGAAGCAATGAGGGGCTTCAACATGGAATTAATCATTTGGGATGTGCTTACATATTTGCCCGACTGTGTTTGCACCTTCAGAAATACAAAGAGGGAATCTACAGGCTCGTGAATGTTGCTCACTTATACAACGAAAGCGCCCACAAATTTGATGAGAGCGACACGGTATTAGAAGAGCATAGTTTCACAAAACTTTCATCGTATAAGGGCCATCAAGGTGGCCTACCTACAATAAGTAGCTCGCTGCTTTCCCCCGGTTTCCACTTGCCTTCAGTCAGACACAACTACGAGTTTTCACGCTCGATATATCCGGAGTCTTCAGCGATATACCACTTGTTGGGCGATCTTTATAAAGCTCTGGGTGATAGCAAAAACAGCATATTGAATTACCAGCAGGCTCTCCGCTTCAATGCGTTTGACTTTGAAGCATTTCAAGAATTGTCGAAGTTAGGTGCGGAGTTGTCTGTGAAGTCTTTGTACAAGTTTCCTTCCCATATCAAGCATGGTGCTCAAGACAATGTACCAAAATACTCTGCGTCAAATTCCAGCTTTTTCCCGAGAAACGGTTACTCCGACACTAAGTATTCAGAAAAGCCAGATGGTTCAGGTGTGCCCAACCCGTTCTCCACGACGCCTCGTCAGAATAATACAGTCCTGGAAATTTCAACTCCACAGATTAATACCACGACTATTCCAGACGCTCCAATGCGTCGCACGCATGGTCAAGAAGAGCACACACAAACAGGCCTCCTTGTTCCGGTTTCAAAACTTGGAGAACGAAAGACGCCAACTGCGGCAAATAAACCCTTCCCATACATGAAGCGAAAACCTGAATTGACTGTCTCAGAAGGAGCTAGGGGCTCGAAAAGATCTGCATCACTGGGGCTTCTTGCACCTTCAAATTCTTATCGTACAGCCCCGCTGAAAGACGTTGAGGTGGCAGATGCATACCTACGTCAGCTTTATTGCATTTTTGCTAAACTGTTCAAGTCTTTTCTGAAATACGACTGTTACAAGGCTATACGTGTTCTAGAAACTCTTCCAGAAAACGAGCAAAACACCCCATGGGTTCTTTCCATGCTCGGAAGGCTCCATTATGAGATTGTTAATTACAAACAGTCCAAGAAGTATTTTGTGGCATTGCGGCAACAAGACCGCACGCGTTTGGAAGACATGGAGTATTATTCCACCCTTCTTTGGCATCTACACAAAAAAGTCGAACTCACGTATTTGGCTAATGAACTCCACGACATAGATGAAAATCTGGCCATCACCTGGTGTGTCATGGGAAACCTTTTCTCTCTCACCAGAGAAGCAGATGAAGCAATCAGATGCTTTAACAAGTCATTAGCAATTGACCCAAAGTTCACTTACGCGTATACCTTAAGAGGCCATGAATATTTCAGCAACGACAACTACGAGAAGGCGCTTGAGTGCTTTCGATATAGTATTCTTCTAGACGCTCGGCATTACAATGCCTTCTATGGCATAGGCATGGTCTACATCAACTTGGGAGAATATCAAAAGGCAGATTACCACTTTAAGAAAGCAGTTGCTATCAATCCGATCAACATAATCTTGATATGTTGTGTCGGAATGGTGTTAGAAAAACTAGGCAAAAAAACACTCGCCCTACGTCAATACGAATTGGCGAATAAGTTACAACCTTTAAGTGCATTACCGATATTCAAAAAAGCACAATTGCTTTTTGCGATGCAGCAGTTTCCCCAAGCACTTGAACAATTCGAGATCGTTAAAGAACTTGCTCCAAATGAGGCATCTGTTCATTTTCTTCTTGGGCAGTTATACAATCTTCAAAAGGATAAGTTTCTGGCGATCAGAGAATTTACGATCGCATTGAATTTGGATCCCAAAGGAAATTACTTGATCCGTGAAGCGATGGAAACTCTTAAAGATTGATAGTGAGAGGTTGGCATGTCATTGAGATAAGAACTGTACCTAGATAATATCACTTATTACCATGTCGTGCTTCCGTAGGTGCTTTACTATTCTTGAAACTCTAAGCCATTTCAAACCCTTTAGATTCGAGTGACAGAAGTAACAAGTCGCTGAACTGTAAAAAAAATTCAACTTATGCTCATCAGGTCATGTGTCTTCCAATAAACAAAAATAGATGAGAGCGGCATCTGATACCGTCACGTCAATTATTTACGCGAACCTCGCGCGGCGTCCTGTCCATTTTGAAGGCTTTTCCTAGGTTTCTCCTGTCTGAGGATCGTCTTCTTTACGAACTCCGAAATGCTCTTCCTTACCGTGATTTTGTTTTTCCTCACTTTTCTGCTGGCGTTTGATTTATTTGCTCCCAAAAAATATGCTCGTGGTGAAAAAGTAAGCCTATTATTCAACAAGATCGAGAGTGACCACACTCAGTTACCATACCGATACCATGACTTACCTTTTGTATGCTACGATAAAACACAAAAAGCCAAGACTTTGCTGTTGGGAGAAGTTTTGAAAGGAGACAGATTTTGGGAATCGATCTATGACCTTCGTTTTGGTGTTGACCAGCCGTGTACACATCTTTGTAATATGTACACTTCTCTGAATGGAGTCGCAAGAGCTGATCATTTGATCAGAAATGGATACGTGGTTCATTGGAGCCTTGATGGCTTACCAGGAGCAACCACTTTCACCAGTGCAAACCGTGGATCCAAGTACTATGCCGCGGGATTCCCGTTGGGCTTTGTCAGTGGAGAGACTGCTTACTTGTACAATCATGTGACAATTGTTGTGCGTTATCACAGAGAAAAGTCAGGGCTCAATGCAATTGTTGGATTTGAAATCTACCCGAAAAGTGTCAATGGAAACGAATGCCCTACCTCTTCAAAGAACTACAAAAATTTGCCTCTCACGGTGATGAAAGACGAGTTTGGAAAACCAGTGACTCAAAAGTTTCACATCCCATATACCTATTCCGTTTATTGGAGAGAAGATAACTCGGTCACTTACAACAGCAGATGGGACTTGTACTATGACAATGAAACCACCGCAACGAGTAGTCAGATTCACATGCTCTCCTTGGTTAATTCAGTGGTTCTTCCTGTCTTGTATCGATGATCGTTGCGGTTGTGTTGATCAAGCTATTGAAGTCAGATTTGCAATCAGAAACCACAATTCCAATTGCGTATACAGACATTCTGGGGCTGCTGATTAGCTCGGGCCTGTGGAAAAACTTAGTTCATGAGGTTATGGGTCCACCATCACAGGTGGCTTTCTTGAGCACCTTGTGTGCGAGTGGTATTCAGTGCCTTGTCGCGATGCTTAGTGTCGTTATCATCTTCACAATCAATAATAAGTTAAGCCTTGGACTGGGGCCTACTTCCAACACTTTTTTTAACAACCATCAAGGAGCATTTTTCTCTTGCTCAATTGTGATTCTTCTAGCTTCAGGATTTGTATCTGCTTCTCTTGGTATCATTTTTCACAAACTCTTGTCCAATGATCTGCCGAACACTGTATACACCTCATCGAAGACCCGTGTATTATCTTGTGCATTTGCCGGCATGTTCCCTTTTACTATTTTTTCAGCTGTCATGGTCATCAACCTATTCGTGTGGGCAAAAGAGTCTTCGAATGCCCTTCCCTTTGGCACAATTGTCATACTACTCTTGCTATTTGGTATAATTGAGCTTCCGCTTGGTATACTAGGAGGCGCTTTAGGAAACAGGCACGAATTCAGTACAGACTCAATATTTGTTAAATCGTACGTGCAAAGCCTGGAAAAACATGTTGTTTGCCGTCGTTCTATCGTTATGAGCCCTATATCCAGTATTTTGGCATTTGGGCTAATACCATTTGGCATAGTATACGTTGACCTCTTGTTCATCTTCAATTCCGTGTGGCTCGAAAAGACGACGTTTTACTATAAGTATGGCTTCCTTCTTTTGACTATCCTACTTCTCTCGGTGGTTGTTGCGGAATCTGCGATTGTTGCAACTTACATCTCCTTGACTGTCTACAATAACCCCAAATGGCAGTGGCTATGCTTCCGAGTAAGTTCGAGTATCGGATGGTATATCTTCGGATATTCGATATACTACTTCATTTACAACTTGCAGATGAGTGACCTAGTCAGCATCATAATTTATTTTTCCTACATGGCGCTTGTGTCGGCTGCTGTTGGGGTGAGCTGTGGCGCCGTTGGAGTCACGACTGCTTTGTTTTTCATCCGAAAAATCTATGGCGCGGTGAAAAGAGACTGAGACGCTTCTATAATACGTATATCTAATATGCAACAATAATGGAAATAAACGGGTTATTTGAGCTCTTTTTATTGTTTTTGATATGTTGGTAATCCAAACCGAAGACAGAGTCCTCAATTTCGGTAGTGAGATGGAATATACGGATAATGAATTCAGTAAGCTTAGTCCAAAGAAGCAGCACCAGTGATGATATCGACCAACTCGTTGGTAATGACGGCTTGTCTGGTTCTGTTGTACAAAATGGAGTTGGCAGTGATCATGTCACCAGCATTCTTGGAAGCATTGTCCATAGCGTTTCTTCTGGCAGACACCTCAGAAGCGTAGCCTTCAGCTTGAGCGGTCAAGAGAGAGTTGGCCAAAGAGAACTCAGCCACCGTCTCAGGGGTCTCCTCGTTCTCCAACTCGTACTTGCTCAAACCTGGAGCCTTCTCAATGGCTTCAGCAGCGAAAACAGAGAACTTGGATGGCTCGAAAGAGACACCAGAAACAAACTTGTTGTACAAGATCTCAGTGTTCTCGTACTTGCCCAAGGTGGCGATCTCATCGGCAATCAAGGAGACCTCGTGGAAAGTTGGCTCGGCCTTACCGACACCGCTGAAAGCCATCTTCAACTTGTCAGCGTGTGTTCTGTTCAATTGCACCTTGGCCTTCTCGCCAATGGTGATGACGTCGACGTTGCCGTTCAACTCCCCGATTCTCTTTCTAGCAGACTTGGAGATTTGCGTGTGGATAGAGCCACACAAACCCTTGTCGGAGGAAACAACAATCAACAAAGTCTTGTCGGAATGGTTCTCTTCAGGCTCGGCATTTTTGAAGAACTCCGTGTCCGACTCGTTGAACACTCTGGAGGCCTGCATGGCTCTCTGGGCCTTATTCAATCTGGTGGAAGCAACAATCTTCATGGTCTTAGTGATCTTCTCGATGTTCTTAATCGACTTAAGACGCATCTCGATTTCTCTCAAAGTGGCATAGTTTCTATGGTGTTAGTATGGGAATTACGTTACGATGCCAGATTTTCGGCCACTTTGACGGAGATCTTCTCAAAAATAGCGAAATAATTTTAAGTCACATTATTCGGTGGCATTGGTATGTGGGATCGTTTAAAACTTCGCTCAGTCAAAGTGAGACTCGAGAGGAAATGACATTTGATTTTTGTAAGAAGCTCAGAGTGGCCATTATATAAGACATACCTTGCACCAGCACGGGCAACTTGAGCAGCGGCACCTAAACGAAACATCTTGTTGTGTGTTGTTGGCTATTGAATGGAGAGAAGTTGTGAGAAACCTGAAGGGTTTTTCGGAGCGTAGTGGTCGTTCGGTACCCGAGGCAAGGATACGATATGATTGGCCGCGGCGCGGAAACGCGCACGTGACTAGAGTCACCTGAACACTGGTGGGTCAGAAACTTAACAAAATCAACTTCTTCCAATATTTGCAGAATGTTTTATTTGCATAATGTGATCAGCCGGTGCGCTAGATGATTTGCGTCCAGTTGTTTTTCGTTGCGCTATCACCAGTATATAATCCACAGCTTGCGGCCATACGCTTCCGAACTGCAGACGATCTACTGTGTTTATTCACAGGAAGAAGAGTCTACCTTTTATTGAGAAATACGAGTGTGAATTGGTCTTTATAGTGTATTACTTGAAATGATTCGAATCTCTTTGATGAACTTCTCTCTACGTTCCTCGAATGTGTATTTTATTTGCGTTTACTTGTAGATCGCTTTGTTCCATGTTTGATTCTAATTTCGCAAAAATGACCAATGCATTCCTCAAATTACATAATTTCAAAATCAAAGTTTTCTATGACCATTCTGTTTCTGAAGTAGGTCTATGTCTACCTAACAACTTTAAACCGAATAAGAAGAGCTCGAATCAACTTGGAGCAATGACAGAAATAGTTCTCTTCAATTTGAGAAATAAATACTTGGCCCTCAAACTGCTCCCATATTGCTTGCATTTCATAGACTTTGATCCTCCATAGTTCAAGATACTTTGAATGGGAAGACAAAATAATGAAAGTGAGTCAGAACATGATCCGTATTTTCTGTACAAGAAATCTGAACAGCCACATATCCTCATGCAATACACAACACTGAACAGTCCGCTTGAGATTGCCTTCTTTTGTGATACAGGCTCACATGAAAGATTCAGATGATAGCCACGAGTTGCAATTACATGTGTATTTATCATATAGTTGTATATTGTTGCTTACGTAGCGATGCAGTCCTGGTCAGCTCTGATGAAGAAGGCCAGCCGAATGTTATAAAAATAGGGTCTAGTGTACAGTTATTGCGATGGGTCATTCTTTTGGTAACCCAAGTAGCCCTGCAATCGGTAGGTCTCAAGCATCTTCAAGTATTTCAAAATCAATGGTCTGCAGTTTTGCTGGGCATCAATACCATGATACACCTTGCACTTACCCAAGGCTTCGTGCGCGATCTTCAACTCTTCACTCCTGATCCACTGCTCCTTCATCATGGAAGTCCTGGCCTTTTGAACCTGAGAAAGATCCTCATAGTCGATGTCATCAAATGAGACCAATTCTGCTCTCTTGTGGTTTTCGTAGGAGGCTGTAAGTTAGTACGCGGATCTAAGTATGAGTTCCTTCAAGCTCATGGCAGTTAGTATGGGTTCGCTAGACATACTCATTGTTCGGTCGCTGTTAGGATCTGGTCTGTTCGTTACGAAAAGGTGAGATTTTACTGGCTCCCTCGATAGGTGTGTGCACGACTCGCGCCCGGGGTCGGTACCTCAAAACTACCACGTACGGTATATTGCTAGAGGAGCCGAGTGAAAAAGATCATTTGGCACTAAATATTCCCAAACCCAGCGAGAAAATTGATATTTTCAAGGAACGCATAAGGAATATCCCTGAAGAGAGATTGTCGTGGCTCTGGACAGCCACTCTTAACAAAAGCATGTGCATGTTTCTTCGTATTCCTTCAAATTGCACTTTATCCTATGGCATTCATCCCCACAGACCTGTGCACCTCAGCATACACCTTTCCTAGACATCATATACAAGCTAACTGAGCTCCCCCCCCCCCCAAGAAGTTGTGACAACCACCTCTGATCATGGCGCTGCCGACCATGCTAACTTTCAATGGCTCATATATAGCCTATGCACATTCAGTTCTCGCATATTCGGCATTTTTGATAGCCTTAGCCGTTGGTTGCTGGCTCCATTACTACAAGATTGTCCAGAATTCGTCTTACGGGTACCCCGACGAATGGTTTCCTAGCGTATCTGCCGCTATTGGCGATAGGTATCCTGAAAGGTCGCTCTTCCAGGTGCTTATAGCATGCACTTCTGGACCACGGTTTATGTTGATTTTCCTTAATTTCATGATCTCACTCGAAGCCTCCAAACCAGTCACCAGTTATATTCTTCTAGTGTCTGGGATACTCAGGACATTTACTTGCGGAGGCTGGGTCTACGTGACTTCAACCGATGACCATGACTGGCACGACATTTCGATGATCGGCTACATTTTCTTGACCATTCCGTGGACGCTCACTGTTTCAAGTTTAAGTCCAAAAGATTCGACCATACGCACTGGAAGGGCCGTCACTGCGATGGCCTTTTTTGGTACACTTGTGCCTTTGGTCTACTGGTTTATACAACACAAGGTCCACGTAAGACCAGGCGCCTATTCTATTTACGCCTATTTTGAATGGCTGTTAATTTTACTTGATGTCGGTTTCGATACTTGGTCAATTCTTGAATTCAAGAATATACAGATTTCGCTCACTTCGACCGGCCTAAGGGTCCAACAAAGCCAAATGCCCAAAGAGAAAGAGGTTTCAGTGAAGGAAAAAGCATATCCATCATTTTCGGATGACTTCACGTTTCTTGAGTTCATTTTGAACACAGTCAATTCGTTCATGTTTTGGACTGTGCTTACTTCACTTCTCGTGTGCGTTTGGTACTTTCCACTCTGGCACATGGGCATATCTGGTTACGAGGCGGTGATAACAGTGATGTTCATCGCCCCATTAGTGACATTGATTCCTCCATTTGGCTCACTTTTTAAGTCCTATCCTCAGATTGCCAAGACCTTGACCGTTATTCTCGGCCTTGGCTCCTTCAAATTTGAGATTCCCGAGCAGAGGCTCTCTCTTATAACAGCAGGTACCGGGTTTGGAGTCATCGCATTGGTTTCAGATTTAGACACATTTTCAGTTTCACCGAAAAAGTATTCTTCGCTTTGGATCTCGTTATTAATTGGCTTGATGGGAACCTCAGTTGCCAAATTCTCTTCTTTCTCGAACAACCCAGCTTGGCCGATCATGAATAGCGAGAATGGGGGATACAATGAACACTTTATCCTTGTGGGATTGATCTCAGCTTTACTTTCACGTTTCTCCGAAGAGAAGAAGCAAGTAATTGAGAGGAAAGGAGGTTCTATTATTTTAGCCTCCCTTGGACTTGGCGCATATCTCTTTTGCCTCCAGGCATACTTGAGTGACTCCTCCACTCTTATTTACTGGAATTGGGAAGGGTATCCAGTTCGTGGTCCCACTCCATTATCCGGGGCCTTGTTGTATTTTGCAGCTTTCGCAGGGGGGATAATTGCATCCATAAGGATGAACCCAAACGCCTTTCAGTCGCCTATATACACGCTTTCCTCTTTTGGATTTGCATACGTCTTATATGCGTACAACGGGTGGATTGGTTTTACAGGGTCATTAGGTCTTTGTTTTTACATCGCATCTATCGGTCCGTTAATTGGTCAAGCTACAATGGGCTACAACACTGCCTTGCTTTTCTTTTGCTCCTTTTTTACTAGTATTGTCATATCCTTGGCAAGTATTTGGATTGTGGCTTATGCATTTGTTCCAGGTGGGCCCTTGCTTCGCGAGAGAACAGACTTAGTACTCTCTACATCTGTTGGCTTTCTTTCCTTTGGGGTACTCAATTTCAGGCTTCGTGAGAATGCGTCGAATATCACAAGGCTAGAAATCAGAGGCTCCAAGATCCTTGGCCAAGCTATGAAAGTACTCAGTGTTTTGCTTGTCATGTCTGTGGCAATTTTGGTGAAGCGCTATCCAAGTACGCCTTTCATTCCATATAACTCCAGCTCCAAGTCGTTTACAACGGGAATCTGGTGTGTGCACTTTGGTTTGGACAATGATATGTGGTCAAGTGAAACCCGCATGAGAGATCTCCTTCGTGAAGCCGAGGTGGATATTGTTGGTTTGCTTGAGACTGACACAGAACGTTTGATTGGAGGCAACAGAGACTTCACTCAAAAGATCGCGCATGATCTAGGCATGTATGTTGACTATGGCCCAGGACCAAACAAGCATACATGGGGCGCTGCCTTGTTATCTAAATTCCCGATAATTGAGTCATCGCATCATCTTCTTCCATCGCCAGTGGGGGAACTTGCCCCAGCCATTCTCGCGACATTAGACATTTACGGGGAATTGGTGGATGTTGTTGTGTTCCACTCGGGTCAGGAGGAAGATGTCGAAGATCGTCGCCTACAAAGTTTAGGCGTGGAGGAGATTATGGCCAACTCCACACGACCCCTCATCCTATTGAGTTACTTGGTGACCGAGCCTCTTACCGGTAATTATAATACTTACGTGAGTCACAAGTCAAGGGTTTATGATATTGACAGCACCGATTGGGATCGCTGGTGTGAATATATCTTATTCCGAGAACTCAAAAAAGTCGCCTACGCAAGAATATCGCGCTCCACGATTACCGACACTGAATTGCAGATCGCCAAGTTCAAATTCTTGACCGACGAACAAAAGGCTTTGGGGGAGGAATTCATATATGGAAATCATTTCGTTGATGAGGACCAAGTTGATTCTGAACTAAGAATGCCTGGTCTTTTCAAGGGCGATGGTGTGCGCGGACACCGTTATCATGTTTTTGATGCCCCGCGTTATTTTGCCGATACAACAGAGCAGATTTAGCACTTACTGCAACTAAAATTCACGAACGATATGAATATCACAACTGTAAGCAATTAAGCCTAACTGAGAAGTCATCGCTCGAATAAAAAGAAAGTTTTATAATAAAGGGTCCTGATTTTTTTTTTTTTCATTTAAGCACCAATACTCATGTCGAGCGCGCACCTGACGTCAAAAATATTTTTCGTCGCAGAAGACACTCGCTTCAGTACCCTTTACCCATAAGAAGCAATGAATCAGTTTCTTAGCACAGCGAACAAGGTGATTTTTGGTCAGCGACCAGCAGTTAGTCTTCTCATACAAACAAGAAATAAAACAAAGACATGTAAGGCTATGGCCAAGAGATTTATCAAAACCGGGAGCGGCTACAAGAGAAAGCAAGCAGGAAGAAACCACGGTAACGGAAATTTCAGTGCTCACTCTATCAGACACCTAGATTCGTATGTTGCTGTTACTAACAAGGGTTTGCATTTGAAAAAGTTGAAAAAGGCTATGGGATTCTAAGTTTTGTTCTCTTTTGAACTATGCGAAGTTGATTTCGAGACAGACAACAGATCAAATCACAACGAAATGAAAATGACAAGAGGAAGAATTGTTCAGCCTGAAAAATAGCACATTCATTAAAAACGGGGACAATGATGTTTCAGACCATTATGGTCGGTCAAAATTGCTTGGCCTATGTACATACAAATCAAATATCTGGTTCATTGAAAATGTATTATTTGAAAACTATCTGGCTGGAAATCTCCAATCAAAATCATTTATGTTCTATCTCAATCCACTCACCGGTTTTGTCATCCACTCTCAACTCTTGGGTGGGGAAGTAATGGTAGTTAGTTTTCATAGAAACAGCTCCTGGGACATGGTCGTAAGAAACGAGACGCAATTTGACATATGTGTTATCTGGAATTGAGCTGGTGACTCTAGCAAATGTCTCCAAGTCTTCAGTTTCCACGTCATTCACGTGCGTGATAAAAACACTTGTCAGAATTCCGTACTGCGCCATAGGACCACCAGAGCTTTTTCTCGAGACATAGACACGAGATGGAATATTTTCCATGAGTTGGCGCACGCCATGATGAGGTTCATGAAGAAGGGCACCACACCAGAACAAGATTCTTGAGGTATTAATACTGTCCGTCTCAACTGTAGGCACAACAATATCCATAACTTGCATCTCTCTGACAATTTTAAACTTCAACTCCTTGTTGTTGTACATGGGTCTCAAGTCTCTCATACCAGTGACCAATTTATCATTCACAGTAAGCAAGATGTCTGAGAATTTCAATGGAGAAATTTCCTTGTCCGAGCGGCGAGCCGAGATTCTCAAGGCTGATAACAACTTGACTTCATCTGGACATTCTTGCTCAAATCTTTCAATCCATTCCTGAGGAACACCTCTTGCTCTGGCTAAAAAGACAGTAATGGTAGCGAATTCGGCATCCAAGATACGTAAAGAGCGGGGGAGATCATTTTGCTTGAGCAGGTCGATAACACTCTTGATATCAACAACGTCCAAAGCAACCCTGTACTGAACGTTGGTCGATCTATCAGCCTGGTCGCCAAGGAAAGTAAGCCAGAAGGCCCTCAAAGTTCCATCGTTATCAACAAGGATACCCGTGTCACATTCCTGCGCAATTTTACTATCAAGCAAAACAACTTCTAAGTTTGTAGCCCTGTATCTAGGGTTGATGTTGCTTGACATTATGTTAAGCGCAGATACAGAACTTGCACTGACGTCATCAGTGACAATTCGATGTCTATAGTTGTACCCAATGAAAAGGGACTTCTCACCTCTCTTCAAAGACGCAGAGGCGATCTTTGGGCTTTGAATATCAGCCTTCACCAATGAGGTATCGTATTTGACAATAGCATAATTCAAGTTTGGGTGCAAGAACACAACCTTTCCAGGGATATCAACAGAGTCTGCAAAAATGAGATAGATGTCACAAACGTCATGGGGAACAAAACGACGAGAAACTAACACATATCCATTCTCAGCATCTATCACCACTCCGTGCCCCACGCTCTTTCTGAATGGGTAGCCGTCAATTGCAATCGGACAGAAAGATCTAATTTGCACAAACGATCTTGAAAGTTTAGAACAAGCAGCTCTATCATCGCCTGACACTGGAATGTCAACAAACCTGGTCTTTTGAGGAGCCATTTCAGTAGGAGGTAACGGTTTATCTTGCAAAGACTTGAAGTCCCAAAGACCCGTAACATCGTTTCTGGTGGCAACCCGGAATTCTGATTGCCAGTGTCTATCCAAGTAGAGAACCATGTTATTTTTGGTGTGCAAATCTGACAAATGACGGAAAGACGCCGCAACTTTTTCACGATCTGGAATGGCTTTCATCACTTCTATGAAAGTGTCCAAGTCTGGCGTAGGCTTGTCGTTAATTTTGTCAAGAACCCATCCAGTGTTATCCAGTCCATTGAAGTCAAACGTGCCAGATGCATCGTTGACATAGACACCTTTGACAGGAATACAATAACATCTGGCAAGTTGATAGGAGAGGTCGTTGAAAGACGCACCTGCAATATCAACAAATCGGTTTGGGGTAATTGCGTGTAAGTCACCAATAGTAATTTTCTGCTTCAATTCGTTTCCACCACGCTGGATCACAAACTCCAACTCTTTTCCAACATTGTCATCCAAGATTACGTCCACCTTGATGAATGTGGAGATGTGCTCCCCGTTAATGGAGATCAAAGTGTCACCTTCTTTGATGAAACCATCTGCTGGACCTTCGGGTAAAACAATGTCACACACCAAAAGCCCCGACTTGTCGGGGAAAAGTTCCCTGGCGCGAGCTTCAGACTCGGGCGTCAATCCTAATCTGCGACACTCGTCAAATGGACGGAACAACCACTCCACCTGAATGTCACCTCGTGTCACAGGAATGCCTTCCTGAATGCACTTTAAGGCTCTGAGTGGTCTGTACACCGGGAGAAAGAAATCAGTGGATGCCTCAGTTGAGCCACCCGCTTGCAAAGCCACAGCTTGTCCGCTTTCGTTCACGACCGGCGATCCCGACGACCCTCCAGATGCACTAGCGGCAGCCTGAATATATTCTGTGTTAAAATCGTTATAGGTCATGGATCCGTAAAATGGGGCGTTTCTGTCCAAGCGGGAAATGAATCCAGCCAAAATCGACAACTTTTCACCCGCATCATTACCAACAACTCTAATTTCGGTACCTACTTTTGCCAAGTCTGGTCTCAACTCGAGCTCCGAAACCACCATGTGCTTGATTTCGGCTGGGTTGAACTGCAAGAAACCAAAGTCATGAATAGGATCTCTATAAATCGGTTTGACGACGGCTTCTTCGTGGTTGTCAAATACAGCATATCCACAGAACGGGCCTGGCCCAACGACATGGCGATTTGTAAGAATGATACCTCGCGTAGCGTCAACAACAAATCCTGTGGCTTCACTGGTGAGGCAAACTTCGGTGTCGAAGTTGGTGATGTTAGAAAAATGCACAGACACAACACTCTTTATGACCTTGGTAATTGTTTCACTCCACGCGGTGTTGTTTCCTGCAGCCACATCGAAGACTTGGTGGTTGATTTCCTCCTCTTCGACATATTCGTCCAGTTCACTGTCAGATGCCACTGGTGCCTGTTTTTTGAATGGCCGGTCTTCATATCCATTAGAGGCCTTTCTCTTCTCAAACATTTTCTATAAGTTTCTAAAAGATAAAAAAAAAACTCTTCAAATGTCGCACGTAAAAAAAGCTTGTGTCGACCACACTTGAACTATGATCGCTTATAAATAATATAGCGTCTTCTCTGATCTTGCCGAGTGCGCGTACGAGCCATTGCCATCTCGAGTAGTTATGAAAATTTGAAATTCCTGCGTGATACGAGACGTTCTTGTGCAGAGGCAACAATTGAAATTCCTGAACACAGTCCTAAATTTGCGCCGCTAAACACGTAATCCATGTCTTTGCTGGTCCCAAGTTGGAAATTCGATTCCCGCTTACGTCAAGTCGACAGCGGCAAGTCTTGGCTAGTTTCTGGTGGTGGGGTTCCCAAAGACTTGACTTTTTCGCGTAATCGCCGCGCCCATGTATTGTAGTATTCGATCTGCGACGGCTTATCGAACATCACAGAAGGGTCAATAAAGGAGCCGAGCCCACGAACAATCTCCCAGCCTTTTCCAAGCTTTGCCTCAATTTCTTTTTCACGTGTAGTATCTTCAACTGTCCAATCATTGTGCACGTACTTCAACTCCAAATCTAAGGCCCACGGCTGACCCTTGACTGATTCCTCAACTCGGTTGATCCATTCGATCATGACTTTCTTCATGAGATTTCCCTTTTGATATTGAAAGAGCTGGTCCTGGAACTCAGATTTTTTCCCGATTGTATTTTTGAATAGCTTGTCATTGATTCGGACATATGCAGCATGTATCAAGCCGCACGCTAATAGCCATTCGTTTCTTCTCACAAATTTATATCGCTCGGCTACAAACATTTCTAAAAGATGTGGAGTTACCGAAGCAGGGATGTAGAAATTATTGGCAAATGACACAAAGTCTGGGATAGACAATTGCTTGAGATACCGCGATGAAGACGGCGAGCATGTTTGCGGGTTCTTCGCAGGCGAAGTTCTTGGGGTTTTGAAAATGTCTCGCGTGGGACTTGTCGCCAGCGACTTCAAGGGAGTATTGAAAGGAGACTCTTGATTGAAAGGAGACACTTGATTGAAAGGAGAATTTTTTTTGAGCTCGTGCATTGCCTTTCCATCTGGGTTGAAAGGCGTACCCACCGCCTTTTGGGGGGGTTCGTCTTGTATGCCCAGAAGTTTTTGAAGCTTTCTCAACGGTGACCCCACTGTGGGCGTGAATGGCCGTTTTTTGGATGGCAGCATCTCATCCGCGAAAAGCTTCTTTGGAGTTGAAGCTGGTGTGGACATTGAAGACATGACTTTATCCTGGATATCATCTAAAAGCTTCTCGAGAAACTTTGGCTGAACAGGCACTTTTTGTAGATTTGGCGTCGGAAGCGAAAACTTTTGTTGATATCTCTCGACTGTCAAGTATGTGCATAAGTGGTATCGGGCGACATCGGCCTTGTGAGGGAGTATAGGGAGTTTTTGCAAACTCAACTGATAGACTGAGTCAATGTATGAGAGAAGAGCTGGAGGGTATGCTCCTGCAAAATTGGGAACGATATCCTTCAATGATTGCTGAATGTGAGACCTGTTCATATTCGAATCAGTATTTCCAGACTTTCGGAAGAAAGTACCTGAGAGTGAACGGTATGTAGAGGCAGAAGAGGAAATTAAACCTGACCTAGGGCTTGCGAGCATGAGGTTAGGGTTCGACCTTCGCTGCTTAAGCCGCGCACTAGTGTAAATACATAAGAGAAATGAGCGGCACATTCCCAGACATTATGTGGCACATATTGTGATCATTGTAGAAATACCTACTTTGATAAGCGAACCACCAGCAGGACGCATACCGAAACTCCATGGTTTTCTAGATAGCGAAAAATGAGACCCTGTCTCCGCCGAGTCTCTCAGCGCTAGTTCAATACTACATGTTCTACACCAGTGCACCGCGATTCGCGATTTGTCTGGCCAACCAGAGCCAATGGAAATCACCCCTGGTCAAGAAACATCAATCTACGTCAAAAATAATCCATACAAAGATGTTGACCAGAAGTATCCTCAGAGTGGCAGTGCCAGTGCGTCAGCTCAGCACCACTGCTATGTTGAGACAGCAGCCTGCTCTCTACGACGAGGCTCAGTACAAGCCAAATGAAATCATTTCCGGTGCACCAAAGGACATGACCACGGAAAGAGTCGTTAGAATCTTCAAGGAGTCTAAACCTGCCACGCAGTCGGGCAACCACAACGGTAAGTTCTGGAAGTTGGACTGGGATGTTTTGGGCAAGGGCAATAGATGGGAGAACGACTTGATGGGATACCAGGGAAGTGCCGACTACATGCAAGGAACGATAATGAAGTTTGACACAAAGGACTCGGCCATCAAGTTTGCTGAAGGCCAAGGCTGGTCATTCTACGTACAAGAGCCTAAGAAGAGACATTTCAGAAAAAAGGAGTACGCCATGAACTTTGCTCATTCCCCTGGCCCATTGAAGCACATCAGAACAAAGTAAAGGAGAAGGGAACCATCGTATAGAATAATGCAGTCATCAGGATATTCTGGCCGTAAGTGGATTGTATCTTCCCCTATGATACAACTTGAAAGCGCTCTTTTGAGACGCATGTTTTGAGACTAGGCTGACGTACCATCGCACCCATATATCGCAGTACCCAAGTGATGGTTCGCTTAACCTGGTGTTCATAATGACAGAGTATGATGCGCGTCGACCACTGGTATTTGCAAGTTTTTCGATCAGCCTTTCTCTGGCCATGTCATCAGGACATACAGCGCCTATACTGGAGGTCCTGGTTTTCAAAAATCAGAAACCACCAAGAAATTCTTCACGATGTATATTGGCGTTGGTCATGCGGCTACCTACACCTGCACCTTTCACCGTTCGACATAAAGCTGGGACTATTGAGACCTCTTGCTGCAGAGCAGGCACGAGGAAAAACAAATCAAGCTTAAAATAATGCAGTAAAAAAAACACGTAGAACAGTGGATTTACACTATTCCCCTCTGTGTGTCTGTCTGTCATTTGGGCAATCAATGGCTCGAAAGCAGGCAAGCTCGCTCTCCATACACACCCTTGCAGGACGCGAAGCACAACTCGGGTGAAGTTTTCCTGTTGTCACTAGACCTCACCAACAAAACCTCACCCAATCAGGGAAAATCCGGTCCATCTCCTGATAAAAAATTGGAGACTGAGTATTGCTGGTCTGTTCATACTGTCGTCTAGCTGTGGTATACCAACACACAGAAAGCTTACTTTACTATAGCGATTATCGCCATTTTCTTGTACGCATACACAAGCTAAACATACTGTATAGACATGTCCTTACAACGAAGCAGAGGGGGTGGAAGGAACAGACCTCGGTCATATGGACCCTCGAAATCAGCCCTGTCACGGGCATCATACTTTACCGATGAGCGGTATTCCCAGAGTAGTGGTCTAGATGCTGATTCTAACGTACCCAAGGGCCCCAGATCCAGCATTTACGGGGCAGGTAGATCTTCCAGATGGGGTGAACACCATCATGATCTGAGACCATACACATCCCGAGATTCTTCACCTCATTCGACTTCTTCTGTTGCAGAAGATGTGGAAAATACTCTCATCCCAATGGAAGGAACGGACCCACATACAGGCATCAATCCTGGCGATTCGAAATTTGATCTCCAAATGCATAATCAGAGCTACTTATCACTGCGACAACTCCTGGTCCCTGTTGATATCCTGAAAAACTACAGGGTTGTATACGACCCTGAGTTGGACAAATCACTCAGCAAAAGCGAAAAGAAAACGAGGCATCGCAAACTCCATTTTCAATCTGCTGATATGCAACACGACACTGATCCGAGGGTCAAGATTGGAATACATCACTACTTGTCCAAGCCACACAAGCTTTCAAAAAAAATCCCATTCAAGCAACTCCCAAGAGTGCGCCTCGTATACGATAAAGACTCTTTAGGGTCGCCCCCACAGTCTGAATTGGTGGCGTGGGACCTACCTGCCTCCACTAGTGAGGTATACCTTCTCAATTTCATCGAATCCTTTGGCAACCCGGTGAAATCAATCAAGTTTATCAACGATCCTAAAAATGCTGTACCATTGGGGATAGCAACATTTACATTCCAAGGAAATCTAGAAAGGGCGCTGCAACTAGCTAAAGAATTCCTAAGGAAAGTGAGATCAGAACCACAGAAAATAGACGGGATGGAACTCAAAGTCACACTAAATGACGCTGCAGATAAGATTCTCAATACGAAAATGAAACAGGCTCAAGATAGATTACTAAGTGATCACATCTCGCGTGAAAAGGAGGAAAGGCGAAAACAAGAAGCCAAGAAGAGAAAGGACGCCGAGGAAGAAAAGATTGCAGTATCCTCCCCTGCTTCGGAAAAGCCAAGTGAGCCAGTGGAGTCAGACCCGTTGAAAGACTTGGCAAACACCACAACCCTTTCTCATAAACATAAGAATAAGGTCATAAAGGGTGTATTTATACCATCCGAATTGGTAAAGTATGTGAAGGATAGGCCATTCTTATTCATTAGCCAAAAATACTTGCCCACCACGAATATCTCGACTCAAGATGTCAAGAAAGTCTTGATGAAATACGACTGGACGCGTGTTTTACTAGATCGAACAGGATTTTACATCGTCTTTAACACTTTGAAAGAATGTCACCGGTGTTTCATCAACGAGGATGGTCTTCGGTTTTTTGAGTTCCGGATGTATATGGAGATGTGCGTGCCTGAGAATTTCAAAGAGAACATTACACATAGCTCATCGTCGACAAATGCGGGTAACAATGAAGTAGATGAGGCTGTTAACTTGTTGATTAAGGACTTTCAAAGCTTTTTGGGAAAGGATATCCGAGAGCGCATCATAGCGCCTCTAATCCTCGATCTATTAAACCCAAACGATTATCCAGAACTCATGAGTGTTCTTAAAGAGCAAGAAAAAGAGAAGGAAGAACAGAGAAGGAAAGTTTTGGAGGCTTCAAAGTTCAATAAGCCTCCTACCACAATCTCGCCTCACAGTTTAGTATCATCTGGCGTGAATAGTACAAAGAAGGGCCCTGATAGCTCACATGTCATGAGTTTGCCAAGCTTCTCAAAAAAACTTGGGTCTCTATCTAATAACAAGAAGAAAAGAAGGAGTTTGTTTCCTATGCAGCATGCTTTGAATTATGATGATCATGACTCTGAGGATTCCGAAGAAGATGATTCTAGCAGAGGGACGACCCCAATACCCAGCTCTAAGAGGGAACTTGAATCTCCTCCAACGCCTACTGAAGAAGAGCCTCACAAAAGACATAAGAGTTCTAAACTCAGGGAGAGCCTCTTGTATGATGAAACGTCGGATGATGATATGGATGTGGGATCTAAGAGCAGACATGAACTGGACGAGTCTCGGCTGGCCGATATACAGAAATCTGGTCCTGAAATGAAACCGGATAGGCCAATTGCGAAGCTTGAGAATGATCTGAGGTATGGGTTCACAGAGTCATCCTGTCCCAAACTTGCCTACGATGAAGAAGAGCCGCAGGCGGGAAGTATTTTCGATTTGGCCAGATTTAAGCAAATCATCAAAGATGATGAAGATCTCGCTTTGGCACGTAAAGTCCTTACAGGCACTGCTCCTTCTGTTATTGAACATCCTCAATATTGGGCATGGAAGCAAAATCAATCTGCCTCAAGCGCAATTATTTCAGAGGAAGAGTCGATTGGCCTTCTTTCAGAACGCTTGGAATGTGATACGGGATCTTTCAAGAGTCAGGGCTTCAGAAAAATTGCTGACGCCGACAAGATTGAGTATTTGCCACACAGAAAAAAAATCCACAAGCCACTCAAAACTGTTCAAAACGATTCGGAGGAAAATAACACCACAGGAGGAAGCACAAGCAATGCGAATAACAATGTGCAAAGCTCACGTGTTAATAGAGCAAACAATAGAAGATTTGCCGCCGACATCAGCGCTCAAAAACAAATATTGAGCTCAGAATCGGATATTTTGAACCTAAACGCCTTGAACAAGAGAAAGAAGCCGGTTTCTTTTGCGCGTTCTGCGATTCATAATTGGGGCTTGTACGCCTTGGAGCCTATTGCTGCAAAGGAGATGATCATAGAATACGTCGGGGAGAGTATCCGGCAACAAGTGGCCGAACATCGTGAAAAAAGCTACCTCAGAACGGGTATTGGTTCCTCGTACTTGTTTCGTATTGATGAGAATATTGTGATCGACGCTACGAAAAAAGGAGGTATTGCGCGATTTATTAACCACTGTTGTAATCCAAGTTGCACCGCCAAGATAATCAAAGTTGACGGAAAAAGAAGAATTGTCATATACGCATTGAAGGACATTGAAGCCAATGAAGAGCTCACATATGACTACAAGTTTGAGAGGGAAACGAATGATGAAGAGAGGATCAGATGTCTTTGCGGAGCGCCTGGTTGCAAGGGATATTTGAACTAAATACATATTAGCACAATCAGTATCCATATAAAGCAAATGATTAAACAATATGAAAATCGACAATTTTTCACTTGGTGCTATGTATATCTCTTCAGCTCATACTTGTTCGACAACATTTGAATAGCTGGGACAGTCGTAGGTTACATACGAGATGATACTTTTCACGCGCACAATAGAGAGCAGGCATTTATCATTTCCACTCATCGATATTTATGTGGCGTGATCTATCTGTATCTGAAATGCAGTAGCACATAGACTTCTGCCAGTATCATGCTATCCATCTCCTTGGTTTTAATTCTTGAAACGTCTATGATGCAAACCTTCGCGACTTGCAGACGCGCGGCGAGCTTTTCGAAACCAAGACACATAAATTTAGATGAAAAATACCGTTTCCAGTAGCTTTAACGATAGGCAACCAGCTACACTCAGGGTGCCATGCTTCTAGGAAGACAGACAACATTCAAAAAGCAAGAAATTGTGCGAACTGCCGTGCAATGCAATGGCTTCCGAAGCACAACTCATGCGCTACAGTACCGCAGACTGATTCAGGTGCTGTCGGATCTTAGGTTGTTGGTGAGAACCGGCAAAAGAAGGCTCACTAAAAAAACGTCAAATTATGATAACACTCTCACGCTTTATGATAACAAATCTTCCTTCTTAGACCCAAAGATCATCTCTGATAACGTTCCTACTTTAAAATATGATCCGTCAGATCTAAGCTGGGATCTTGGAGGGCAGACAGAAGAAACGGCATTGAGTCCGCTTTATCAAATTGTAAGGAAGCTCATTGATGACAACAAAGGATGTATTTGCTTGATCCAAGTTGGTGGATTTTATGAGTTGTATTTTGAACAGGCTTCTACCATTGGGCCCAAACTTGGTATTAAAGTTGCAACTCGAAAGGCACTGAACAACGCCATACCTATGGCAGGGTTTCCGCTCCATCAATTACAGAAATTTGTCAAAACCCTTGTACATGACTTACAGATGAATGTCGCTATCATTGATCAATACGATCACATTCAAAGCGACACGGACCTTAAGCACAGGAAAATATCAAGAATAGTCTCGCCCGGGACGTTGGTGGATGAATCTTTCATGAACTTTTCGCAGAACAACTATTTGGTAGCTATTTCTCCTGGCTTCAAACCAGGAGCTCATCCTGATCCAGACATGCCGGTTGGCTTACTGTGGGTAGATATTTCTGTGGGCGAATTTTACGTTCAACAGACGACCTTGGGGGAGCTAGCCGACGATCTAAAAAGAATCAACCCTAGTGAAGTCATTCTTCCCAAAGAATTCCATATATCGGAAACCAACTCCGATCATTTCTTGACAATGGCGGATTTGAAAAAATATTTTGTCCGATATCACAAAACCACCTATAAAGATTTTAAAATGCATATACAGAAAGACGTTTTGTCGACAAGAAAAGTTCTTGAGGACTTCACAGTCCGCGAAGAGGCTGCCATGAACATAGTTCTCTCATATGTCAACGTGAATTTGCCCGAAAGAAAGTTGGTCCTTGAACAACCTTCGAGGTATCTCAATAAGAATTACTTGGCCATGGACTCACGTACAAGAGATGCTCTCGAACTAACTGGAAGATCCACTTTTGGTTCTATTTCTGTCGTTGGATCTTTACTCAATACCATAAAAAGGACAAAAACTGCCTCGGGATCGCGCCTTCTATCTCAATGGGTTTTACTGCCCATTTTGGATGAAAAGAAACTTGAAAGAAGACTAGACTTTGTCTCCCTATTTAAAAACAATGTCCATTTGACTTTAGAAACAACGAAGCAGTTGAGTTTCATAGGAGACTCTGTGCGGTCGCTACAAAAGCTAGCTCTCAAAACAGGATCTGCGCTGACCCATTTACAGAATATTGCCTTAGGACTCTCTCAGTTAGAGAAACTTAGAGATTTGTTGAAAAATACATCACAGTCTCTTGAGACAAAGGAATCCATTCTTCTTAAAGAATTTGTTGAAGAATTCAAAATACCAGCCGGGATTTCCGACAAGATATTCAACACATTATTGATAGAAGACAACAACAATATGAGCACAGATGAATTATCTCAGAATTCTGAATTTCTTCCAAACTTGACACTGCAAGAAGTTGAACCGCAACAAAAGCCCTTGACTCACTCATCAGAGTCATCAGTTGTCTTCACGGTTAACAAAAACTACAACAAGACTTTAGCACGTCTTCATGCAGATCTCGAAAAATTTCGACAACAAGAGTCCGATATCTTGAGTTTTATACACTCAATTTCTACACTAATTGACCCGAGAGCATCTGTGAGCCATCGAGAGCAGTCTGGTAGGCATTCTAATGCTATATATGTGAAGTGCAGAGCCAAGTTTATTGATGAGATTGAGGCCCAATTGATATCCGAAATTGGTGCGGACATCCGAGACAAGCAAAAAACTTGCATTGTCATGAAAACAGTCAAATGGACGGATACGGTCGAAAGAAAAACCGAAGTCAATCGAGCAATCCTTGATCTCGAAAGAAAAATCATAGAAGAAGTTAGTCAGGAGGTGTTGACACATATTTCCACCATCAGGGCAGCCAGTCGCTGTGCAGATTTTGTGGATGTTACATCTTCCTTTGGTGCACTATCAAGAGAGAATTCTTGGGCTCGGCCCAGATTTGCTTCCACAAAAATACTTTCAGTGACGGATGGAAGGCATGCTGTTGTTGAATCTAGTCTAAAAGATAATGGGAAATCTTTTGTCGCAAATGACACTAAGTTGGGAAGTGACGGCAATTTGTGGATCATTTCAGGCCCGAACATGGGCGGAAAGAGTACATATCTCAGACAAAATGCTCTCATTGTGATTTTGGCGCAGATTGGCTGTTTCGTACCAGCCAAAAGAGCCAATGTATGCATTGTTGATCGCTTGTTTACCCGAGTTGGTGCCTCTGATGATCTCTTTAGCGATTTGAGTACATTTATGGTTGAAATGATTGAGACAAGCAATATTTTGAAAAATGCCACAAGCCGCTCATTGGCGATTGTTGATGAAATAGGAAGGGGAACCAGTGGAAAAGAAGGGCTTGCCATTGCGTACGCGACCCTTCTTCATTTGTTGGAAGTTAACAAATGTCGTACGTTGTTTGCGACGCATTTTGGTCCCGAGCTCAAGAATTTGTTGGAGATTGACAAGATCAATCAAAGCAAGATACGGTTCTACAAAACGCAGGTCTCGAGCTCTGGCGGAAAACATATATTCAAACATACTCTCGTGCCGGGAATTAGTGAAAAGTCATACGCGGTAGAAGTTGCTGAACTTGCGGGCTTTCCCAGGTCTGCACTCAAGCATGCCGAAAGAGCGTTGTCTCTTCTCTGAGCTCGATTTTGATGGTCCTAGCGTGTAACTTCGAGTTTCCACAAAATGTACTGCGAGAATATGTTATTTTTAGCGTGAAAACACCCCAGAATGTCAGTTCTACTGAAATACTCACACCTATTTGATGTGGGTGTCTATATCGGAATAAAATGTATAAACCAACGTCTTTATTTCTCTTCGTTTTGCTCTTTGGCGAGATTCTGGCTTACCATTTGTTGGAGTTGTTGCAAGGCTTGATTTGGGGCATCATTATGCATTCTGGCATGTGGTTGAGCTTGAGCCCAACGGTTTTCCGGATGGGAATTTTGTGCATAGTGTTGTACTGGATATCCCTGAGACGACATGTGAGGTTGATATGGCTGTCCGTATTGTTGTGGATTGCCGAAGTGTTGCATATTGGAGAACCCAACGGGCGGCTGGCCATATGATTGTTCTTGGTATTGTTGAGATGGCGTAGCAAGGGCAGGGTTGTATGGCTGGACATACGGGTTTGAATAAGATTGTGCATAGGGTTCAATCTGATGAGTAGGTGCATAGGCTTGCTGTTGCGCATATGGCTGCTGCATTGGAAATTGACTATGATGGCCGGGACTTGATTGAGGTTGACCATATGCGCTGCTTTGTATCTGGGTAAATGACATACCATAGTTGCTTGGAGGCTGAGTGAACGCGGGACTATGCAAGGCGGGGTTGTAATGCTGGAGTTTTGGGTGCAGATTACCTTGAGTACTGGGCCTTTCTGTTGGTTTGGGCGCAAATCCATAAGAGACAAAACTATTCTCAGGCTTTGAAGCGGCTGGTTTTTTCTTTTGCGTGGTGTCACCACTGTCTTGTTTCTTCTGCTTCCTCTTACGATTCTTTTCTTGCTTAGCAGCTAATTCTTGCTCATCGTCAGAATATTCTTGCTCATCTTCAGGAAGTTCTTCGTCATGACAATTACTGGCATCTGTTCCTTTGAGCTTTTTGAGGGCATCTGTGTAGACAAACTGAGAGCTGGGGACGACGTAAAAGATCTTGCTTCCCTTCTTGTCCTTGATTTTTTCGAACTCCGCCTCTGAATTAAACTTGACCCTGTAATTCGGCGCTTGTAAACGCCCAAAAGTCTCGAAAAGCGGGCCCAATAGTTGTCTGTCCTCGAAACAGAGAACTGAATCATCTTTCAAAATTCTAAACTCCCCAGACACATTTGCTTTAATGATGGCACTCTTTTCCACTAGTCCGGTCAAGGTGCCAATGTACTCTAGAGGAGCATTTTCCGGCACTGCATAATCAGCCGGTAGGGAGTTTGCTTTCTCATCAGCCACTTCATTTTTAGACATGATAGGACCAGCAATCGCCTCGTCCTCTTCATCTACTTCGTCGACTGGGTCATCATTCTTAGATTGAGTCATCTCAGAGTCGGAATCAGAATCGTCAGACGAGTCACTGGAAGTATCACTCAGTGAAGAATCATCATCCGTGTTTGATTCGGCAGCAGAGCTTGAGTCACCGTCGCTATCGATTTGGATTTCATCGTCCGAAAACGAGTCAATTTTTTCATCTGGCTTTGATTCTGGAGCATCGCCAAGAGATTTGGGGTCATTTTCTTCCCGAGTACTGGCCCCTTCGGACATGAATGGTTCCAAGGAATTCGTGATGGCCTTATCCGAGTTTGAATCTTCGGATTCGGCAGCCAAAGCTTGTCCACTAAGACCATCGGCGATTATGTCATTCTCTGTAACGTTCTCCAGGTCTTTGTCTGATGGCAGTTCTTCAGTCGTTTTAGACTCGATATCTATTCCGCGCCCGTCTATGCTGGCGGACTCTTCGAGTACAACATGGTGATCAATCCTTTCGTTGGATTCGATGATTTGAGCTGAATCGGCTGGAGAGGCTTGCTGAAAGGTAGTGCCACACGTGACATTTTCTTTCATACTGACGTCTGAAGATAATCCCATTGCAGATGACTCCATAATGTCCAGTGAGGTTTAGGCTCATGCCGTCAGTTGCAGCCGTGATGAGCTTCTCATGTGGAATAAAGGTGCACGGGTGTAAATCATGACCAGAGCAGCCTAGTATGAGACGTGTACAGTCAATTTACGAAGGCGAAAAACATGTTAATTTGTGTCTTATGAGCCGCTTCAGGTCGGATATATCTGAGACGTCTCCGAGAAAATCTACGGTCGCGGTCATTGGACATTCAAATGCATCGACTCACCATCTACTTCTATTGGCTATTCTGCAACTTGAATCAGTCTCCAAACGAGGGCGTGCCCACTCATTAGAATGATATGCAGTCATGAACAAGTTATTGTCAACTTTAAATAAACTCCCAGACTAATATAGAAAAGCTAAGTACGTTAAGTGGCCGGTTCTGTGGAGGCGACGATAACACAAATCTCAAACTGAAGGGCGGCATTCCCTGAAATGTCGCAGACGTCGTCCTCGCACTAAAAACATGCAGGTGCTGTCGGATTGTTTCGGTTATTCCCCTTCGGGCAAAAATCACTTATGAGCGCAACAATGTGAAATGATGATCTGTTGCGATCTGCGAATACATCACGCAGATGTGCCTCGGAAATCAAGGCACAGTTTAAGTGAACCCGGTTGTCACCTACAACTACCTCCCAAGAACAAAGAACCTCAACCGCTGGTGTAGGTACATGGTCTTGTAGCAACGTATCCCCCGGAAATTGCACTATTCATATCACATCTGTAAGTTCCGGGTGTAATTATTGGTAATTTCAAGAAAAGTTTGCGGACGCAGGCCCGCGACATCAAGAAAGTAATGTCGTCTACAAGCGTGAGAGGGTTATTATCCCCAAGTCCAATACCCCTGTTCGTAAACATTTGTTACATAAACCCCTCCTTCGAAAATTATTCTTAAATCCTCTCAGGGCATCACAGTAAAAAAAATTGACTTTTGCCTCGCAACAACATGATGCATATCAAGGGGTCTCATATATCTCCTTTTTTCGATTGGACAAGGCTTATGAATATACAGTCAATAAGGTGCACCTGTGTACTGGTATGCAGATAAGCCCAATTCTTACGAACACGTCTGTTCGGGCAGCGTTAAGAGCCTCAGCTATCTCCTTCTTTCTTCTCGTATTTTTCTTCTCGTGCCAAAAATGAATCCTCTCAGACTTCTATATGTCTTGGCCTTGCCGCTTCTTGCTTTGTGTACAGCAAATCTTGCCTTGGCGCCAGAAGAATTAAAGCATCTTGAAGGGGACCCCGAGGTCACGCATTTTGCCCAGTTTTCCATTGGCCTCCAGAAGTCGGAAACGGAGCTTGAGCATTTGGGTGACTTGAAGTTTGCGCTCTTTGGAAGCGTCGTTCCCATCACCGTCGCCAACTTCATCACCAGTATCGAGCAGGAAATCAATGGCTACACCAACTCTATTATCCACAGAGTGGTCAAGGGCGTTATTGCGCAGGGCGGCTTCTTGAAGAAAGTGGCCTGGAAAGAGTACGAGCCAATTGCCTACGAGAGATTCCCATGTGAAAACTTCCAGATTCTCCACAACAAGCCCGGCCGTATCTCGTTGGCCAGCACCCAGGACGACACCAACGGGATGTCGTTTTTTATCTCCATTCCGCAAAGCACCCTGTATTTCGACAACAAGTACGTGGTCTTTGGCCAGCTCGTGCTGGGCTTCGACGTTCTCCAGCAGATCAGCGAGACCCCCGTCAATGGAGAGACCCCCATTGGCGAAATCGTGATCACCAAGTCTGTCTACATGGACCCATCCTCTGTGCCCATGGTCATGGACTTTGGCGCGGTCACCGGCGAGTACTCGCTTTTCATTTACGGCGCCATAGCCTCGGCCGTGCTCTT